AGGTAGCTACGCTCGGCGCGGACCCCGAAAGTTGGGGGACTTCTAGCACTGGTCCCTATGACTTAGTCGTTGTCGACCCGCATATCAAAGCCCAGGAAGTACTGGGTTCTGAGCCCCTTCTGCGTCTCGTGAGCGACGCTGGGTGGCTGTTTTACCCTTCAACTAAACCATCCTCATCCTCCCTCTCAGGGGCAACATGGTCGCTGCAGATGGGTAACCATACTCTACTCCGAAAGGCCGCCGCTAGTGCTTGCAGCAACAGGACAAGTCAGCACCCTAGCCACGGAGAAGAAATCACCGTGTTGTCGGCGCGAGATCAAAGCTTGCGTAGTCTTGGAGATGTTCTGTCAAGGCTCCAGTCCCACTCTATAGTCAGCGAGCAAGGTATATCCGAGTTCGTCCAGGCACGAGACCATCACGTACTAGTTAACGACATAACGGGTGCAGTATCCGCCTCGATGCTCGAGAATGCGGACCATTTCGAGGCTATGAAAGGAGTGCTGACATCGGGGGCGCCCGTGGTCTGGCTAACTCGGGGAGTAAGACAAGGCCGCACAGCAGCACTTTCGGGGGTGGCCGGTATGGCCGAGGGCCTGCTGCGGGTCATCCGCTCTGAGCAAGCCGCCGTAAAAATTACGCTACTTGACGTGGATGAAGAAGAAGAGTCAAGCAACGTGTGCCGTACCATCATACACGCGCTTGGTTCTATAGCCACCAAGGACTCCGGGTGCGATACCGAGTTCTGGTTACACCATGGTACCATGCTCGTCTCGCGTGTTCACGCTAACGACGGTTTAAATCGGGATTTGAGACAAAGCCAGCCTCACAAGATGCCGCTGTCAGGCCCACTGAAACTAGTGAACAAGACCGCAGACGGGCAGTTCGTGTTTGAGACCCAAGGACGGGGCGAACCAGTTGCCTTAGGCGATGACCAGGTCGAGATCCAAGTTTTAGCTTCGGGTTGGCCATCCAATTCTCCTGGCACCCGCACGCTTGTTGTGGGAAGCGTCGTCAGAACTGGTGCATCGGTGGACCGAGAACTAGTAGGGAAACGCGCGATAGCCTTCGCGTACGACACTATGCAAACAGTGTTCTCTACTTCGGCGTATGCAATCATCGGTGACGGGTGCAAGCGATTATCTCCCGAAGCTTTAGTGCGTACAGTGTCGCCGTTGTGTCCCCTCGTGAATCTTTGCCTCACTAGCGCTAAGCTCGAGAGAGGAGAAACTATCATCTCGCTACCTGGTCCCGCACGGGATACCAAGATGCTGGTGAGGCTGGCGAAGGCCATGGGCTGGCGGCTGAGCGTTGTTTGCCAATCTGACCAAGACCGGGAGGAATACGCGTCGCAGATTGGCTTGGAATCTCGTCGGATATTCACTGCCACAGGCGCAGACGCCGTGAATGCATTCATTCGCAACCAACGAGATTCATCTTCGTCTCGCACCGTCACTCTCCTTGCTCATGACTTTGACACAGGCTTGGCACATGAGGTGTGGAGGCATATTCCGCCGTCGTGCCGCTTTCTCCTGCTCAACGAAAAGCCCCTCGAAACTGCACTGGATCCCCTACCATTCTCACGCGGCTCGAGCTTCATCCCATCTTCCATGAGGCATTTACGGGAATCCGCCACTGCCATTTCGAGTTTGCTTTCTGCGTCGTTAGGCCTTATCGAAGCGCATCCTCTGCTCGAGATGGAGTCGGCTGGAAACGCTATTGACCAGGTTGATATTGAAGATGCTATTCATATAGCATCAAAGAACCACAATAAACATTTAGGTGACCTGGACATGGTCGTGAGATACCGCCCACAGATCAGCCAAGTATTGGTAAGATTTCCCCGTACCCATCATCAGCTGTTTCCTCGGCATACCTAACGAGACAATCGTAATGATTAGGCCGTTTCCAAGTCTAAACAGTTGCGGCTGCTTCCGGACGCCACATATCTCCTAGTAGGCTGTCTAGGTGGCCTAGGCCGCAGCTTGACGAGATGGATGATGGACTGCGGTGCTAGGCACTTTGCATTTATCTCGCGGTCGGGCATTGACAAGCCCGAGGCCGCTCGCTTAGTCGCGGATATCCAGCTCTCCGGTGCCTCTACACAGGTGCTGCGCGCCGATGCCTCCGACGAAGAGGACGTTGCGAGAATCGTAGCTTCGTTGCAAGCGCAGAGACCAATACACGGAGTGGTTCATGCAGCCATGGTTCTTAAAGTAAGTAATTCATTCCCGTGGAGGTGCCGTCCGGCCTATCAACGGGCTTCCCTTTTGCTTGAAAATTACCCCGCGATTTGCCGTGGCGTGTAACCTGATTATTGCCGGACATGAGCTGACGGTGGCGGAAACTCGTGCAGGATGGCATGTTTGAGCAGATGACACACCGATCCTTCGTCGATTGCATTAAACCCAAAGCCCGGGGTGCCGTCAGCCTGCATAAGGCGCTTGAGCATGCCGGCGTTGACCCGGACTTCTTTGTCATGACGAGCTCCATCTCGGCGCTGCTGGGCAATACCGGACAGGCCAACTACAGCGCTGCCAATAGCGCTCTAGACGCCCTCGCGCGCCAGCGCCGTGCAGCGGGACGCGCGGCCACATCGCTCGTGCTCCCGATGGTGCTTGATGTAGGTGTTGTAGCAGATAACGACTCGATTGAGGCATCGCTCGTTCGAAAGGGCCTATACGGCATTGACGAACACGAAATGCTGCGCGGCTTTGAAGCAGCTATGCTTACGTCACGACCTGCCGTCAATTCAGAAGCGGCAACCGGAGTCGCAGATGAATCGCAGATCATTATGGGCATGGAGCCACGTGAGCTGGCCGCATCCGCCGTTGACGAGAGCGTCGACGCATACTGGCACGGGGACTCTCGGTTCTGCCACACACGGGCCGCGATGGAGAGGCTTCTCAATGGGGACGGGAGCAGCAGCAGCAATGACAGCAGCGAAGGCAACACATTCAGCCGAACCGTGAAAGCTGCGGTCACCGAGAGTCCCGAGGCCGTAGTGAAGGTCGTATCGGAGCACATCGCACGGCGAATGTCGAGCATTTTAATGATTCCCTTCGACAACTTCGAGCTCGACGGGCTAGGGTCAATCGCGAGCTACGGCCTCGACAGCATGATCGGCGCCGAGCTGCGGACTTGGCTGTTCAAGGAGTTCGGCCTTGACTATCCTTTCCAAAAGCTTTTGGCATCTACACTCACGTTTAAGAAGCTTTCAAGCGCAGTGATCGATAAGATGGGCCTGATCGTTACCGCCGAGTGATTGGGTCACCCTAGATGAAGGAATGAGTTTTGTTTATAATTTTACGCCCTTTTTTCGATATTTCACGGTTTACTTCTCGGGGGAAGGGTTAGGGGTTCAATCCTCCGTAATGCTGGTGGCTCACTCCAACTTGAGAAGGGTAGGGGTAGAAGAGGAACGATCATAGAGTGCGCGTGGCCGGCACATGTGGGATTTTCGGAGTCGGGTGGGGGGGATGAGGGATAGAAGGAATCGTTCAGCGTAGACTAGATTCCAGTGTATTATATAACCATAACTACCACTAATAAACGACTTGTTCAAAGTACCTACTGTAACGCGCGGTTCTAGTCACCTACGGGGCTTCGGTGTGCATGTAAATAAATTATTACCTTGCGATACGGTAGGCATCTTAGCTCCCCCCGCGGGAGCTAAAAATGCAGTGAAGGCTGGGGTCGCCCAAGATAGCTTGGTGGGTGGCATCTTAGCCTCCTTCGCGGGGGCTAAAAAAGCAGTGAAATTACTATTGTAATGGCCCGCATGGTGGCTGACTAGCCCAGGTAGCATACCCTACAGTTTGTCCTAACCTTTTTAGGATAGCCACCACAGAAGCGACTAGGACCAGAGACAAGCATCAGGCCTTAAGATATTCCGTACATAAACTGCCTGAACAGCTACTTTTAATACAAAGAGAACTTCTCTCTTTGTGCAATGACAATAGGTCAATACTGGAACGAACCAGCAGTGCGAGTTGTGACAATAGTTTGAATGAAGTAGGGTCAATGGATATAGTAGGTAACACCAGACGGTAGAACAAAGCAGTTGTTTGATTACACAGCGACAATATGAAGACAAGATAACCGATATTTACGAAACAAGACTGATAGATTCGGTGTTTTTCGATAGTTCCATTTCAGGGTTGTCTATATAAAGCAGTTTAATCCCCCAAGAATTCTTGCCCGCAACCATTTCTCCAAATCAGGATTAACAGCCAAAGAATACACAATGGAAAACAACAAAGGTGTCAAGGAACCAAACAACGAGAGCCTGGACTCTGACCAGGTAAACTATCTTATATTCTTGACGTTGCTGCTGGTGTTCTTGTTGATCGAGCTAAAAATCGAAGTCGGGGCTCCCGGGGAACTCCCAACGGTTTCCTGGGGGGCACAGTTAAATTGAGAACTCATAAGCGCTCAATTACGAGGGTCTAGATAACGGCGCTATCATAAAGAAAGGAAGAAAAGAAGAAAAGAATTAAGCCAGGATGCAACACCACAACCAACTTGAACCAAGACACACCAGACGTGAATAATACGCTGCAAATTTTACCCGCCCACCTACCTAACTGCGAGCGCTCCGTTAGATTATCTATTTTTATTTTTCATTGAGTTGTTTGAAATTGTTTATTAGTTAGGGCAGTCCTAGGCTAGCTTTCAAGGTTTATTATCTAGCCTAAATTTGAGACCAGTACCAGCTTAGATCCTAAAGCTAGCCGAGTTATACTCCTTTGCAGTGTGTGTGCCCTATGTGGTTATAGACAAAGAGAAAAAGAAAAGAAAAAGCAATTAAACTAAGAATAATAGGTAAGTAACACCAGTAATAAATAGACTTGATGTAAACAGGAAATATTTTAACTGGACACACTAAGGTGAGTGACGAAGTGGGGCTAGGGCAATGTGCAAATTATAGAGTATAGAGCGAGCTTATGTGTCCGAGGCCAGTTTAGCCACTTCACTGAGTGGGAAAAAAATTTTAAAAAATTTCTCCTGAGGGTGACTCGAACACCCGACCTGTGGATTTCAATGCAAATTTCAATTACAGTCCAACGCGCTACCAACTGTGCCATCAGGAGATGCTCACGTGCTGTGATGCTGACGACTGGCCGTGCATAATATCATATCCGCGCCTTCCAACGGCACTCCATCCGCACCAGGCACGAATACGCACGTGTAAATCGCTCCCGAGGCCGTGAACGATCTGAGGAGGGGGGACGTCCCGTAGGTTATGATTTGCATACGTGTATGTTGTGGCGTATGGGGCGTGCAATTCCCCCCGGCTGGCGAGAACATGTCGTCATGACTGTCTAGGCCAAAGGGCCGAATGCTGCAGGGAAGATTTCAGGTGCGGGAATCTAGGGTATATTCCAACCAATCGACTCGGAGTTGAAGGCCCATCTTCGTGGCATATAGAAAGACCGTGTAGCACTAACGAGAGCTGGACGGTTTGGTTATAGCGTCGAAAGCGATATGCGAAATTTGACTTGCGCTTCTTGCACCGAAGATATGGATGAAGGCAGCAGCCGATTTCCCTACCTCTCCTGGATCCTTGGTGGGGGTGAAAGAATTGGGGACAGGCGAATTGGTGGGCACGTAAAACATGGCGAACGCACATAAGACGGAACCGACGAATAAAAGTGGCTGTCTGCCGTGTCGGTCTTGGAGGAAGAGGGATGTTGCCGTCACAGCGACCTTATGACAATACCGTAGATGTTAGTTGAGAATGTCTTCGCCGACTACCAAGTAAACGTTAGAAACAGCTTTTGGAGGTAGGTTGCGAGTGAGTATACCGCGCCTCGATAAACTAGGACCTGGAACAGGTGACTGAAAAGTTATTGATCGCGTTAATCCGGTGCTATTCTAAAAGGTGATTAGGAGGGGACCACGTACAAGTCCGTGCGCCATTTTCTTTGTAAATGTTTCTGAGACAATACCTCCGAAGCCAGGGCCGACGGAATAAGAAGCTCGTGCTCCGTCTGCCTCGCATAATCCGCCAGTTCAGAGGACACGTTGGGATGGTCGACGTCAAGCTGGCGCAACCAACCCAGCGCTTTCCCTGCCTCCTCCTGCACTCCGAGGGAGGGGATGTTAGGGCAACCCGAGGCGGGGGTTTACCTATGCCCCTGTTTTGACGTGAGTAATAACGCACGGAATTGCACTTGTGGGCGAAACGAGCGAATCTAGTGCGCTGCTCCAAGGCTATTTGGATCCTTTAGGATAGCACAAATAATTATATTATAGAGTTGCTGGAGCCGCATAGTTCTAAGGAAATGTTAAGCTATAGTTATATATCGCAATAGACTATCTACTTGTACGTAACATTGTTCCTTACGCGAAAAGTTCCGATATTCTCTCAGCACCAACATTCCCCCCGCTCAGGATGATCCCTACGTCCCATCCTTCTTCCCCTGCAGTGCTCTCGACCATCTCCCGGAACTCTTCGTTATATAGGACAACTGCCAGGGGAACAGCAGCCGCAGGCTCCACCACGAGCTTAAGTCTCTCAAATATGAGCTTCATGGCTGCTAAGATTTCTTCCTCACTCACTGCATACATCATATTCACTAACCGTCGCTCGTAGATGATGCCCCAGGGATACTGCCCTAGTTTCCCGACGAGTCCGTCAGCAATCGAGTTGCTCGCGACATGCGTAATCCTCTGCCCAGAGAGGAAACCCCGCCGGCCGTCATCGGCCCCTTCGAACTCGGGCTCGGCACCGTACACACGGATCCCGGTCCCCTCGCAGCTGAGCGCAGTCCCGGAAAGGAGGCCCCCGCCGCTACTCGGCACCACAATCGCGTCCAGTTTGGGGATTTGCGATTGCATCTCCAAACCCACGGAGCCTTGCCCCAGAATGACATCGGGGTGGTCATAGGGCGGTATCAGACGGGCACCCGTCTTTTCGATAATCTGAGCCGCTACGGCTTCGCGTTCAAAACGGCCGCAGAGCGTCAGCGCGGCGCCATAGCCTTCTACTGATTTGATTTTCGTTGGGCTGCTCGTCTCGGGCATGACGATGTATGCGGGGAGGTTGCTTTCGCGGGCCGCGAGCGAGACGGCTTGGGCGTGGTTGCCTGTCTACGGAGTGAGCGTGGGGTTTGCGGAGGCCAGTATCCTCGAATGCGTTGGCTCACCGGCGCTGAAGCATACCACGCCCTTACTCAGACCACCCTGTTCGATAAATGTCGGGTCCTTTTTCAGTTTTTCCACTGCATGGAAGGCACCCCGCGCTTTAAAAGCGCCGATGCGTTGTAAATTCTCACATTTGAACCACAGGCGGAAAACTGGCTTTGCAGGCCCCCTATTAATATCGCTTCTTCTGGAGATTTCTCGTGGTGTTGAGGCAAGTTGGTTCAAATATGTACTCGTCAGAACGGGAGTAAGGTGGATTTTGGACTTGACGAGTTGGTGGGCTTCAATGACAGATTGGCGCGTCAACGGAGCACAAGTCGACAAATCCGCCATATTGTACTACGAGATACTACTGCTCTTATATCCTATCTGAGTTGCTGTCAGGCCTAGCAGCAGAACTGTTGGGATTCTTTGCCTATTCGATAATCGGGGCAGTCAAGTTTGAATGTATTCGTAGATTGGTACATATTGGCTCAGCTTGGAGAGAAGATATAGCGCAAAGAGCATTCATGGCACCATCTACACTGCCGAAGCGGGTGACAGTACGCATGATGCCCCTCGGCCGGCGACCGGCGCGCCATTCGGGGTATCTTGACCGATATCTAAGCGACGCGGACTGTCGACCCACACGACTGCGTTACAGTACGCTTAATCCCAGAGAGGCAAAGGGTCGATCCTCGAGACTTGCGTCGCACGATTTAGCTTGCGATTTTAGCAAATGGGGTACTGTATGAAGTGAGCTATGACGCCAGCTACGTGTGGCCTTGCTCTTCTTTTTCAAACCCATCTCGTCCAACGGCAACTTCTTGGGCCGAGCATTCTTTTCTGGCGCACTAGCTGAGGAAACATTAGCATGAGATCGCTTCCCGCTCATGTCATTTCAGGCCGCCAGTTGATCAAATCCTAGCTACATTGAGCGAAGGTTAAAATGTTCGAAGCTCTCCAGTAACCCCACAGTTTGCGGCAGAAGTCTTTACTAGTATGAATCCTGCAGGCGGGATGCTGTATTGCCCGGCTGTCGCTTTCGAGGATAGCTATTTATTGTCAAGGGAGTCGTGCACAACCTCGACTGAAACAGTGCGATTTATGGGCGCTACTCTTCTACAACATCATCTGAGTCTTTAGTATAGTTAGTATTATTATATAAGTAGTCTTCAAAGTAGCTGGCTACTGGCCGTCTTGCTTGTTAGTCTGAGCTTTGGGGTCAACAACATTGTGGTAGCATCTTTGCTACTGAGAATTTCTGGGGATGGTTAAATGAAGGGTTCTAAATCTTATTGTCTCCTTCTCTAACGTTGAAATCATGAGGTTTTCGCCGGGCTGCGCGCGATTTCTCATTGCTTCTTCAGCTGCTTCATGGCGTGAAGCAATGAACTTGAATTGCATTCAGGTACTGAAGTACTAGTAGAGCCGGTTGACAGCTGGTGTGGGGTGATTTTGCGACTGCCCAGGTGCCAGTTGGAGAAGCGAGAAGTGATAAGAAAAAAGTTCAACATTTTTGGCAGGTACCCCACCTGGGTAGGCGGTATGCACAGGCAGATCGCAGCCACACCCACATTTCCTTGCACCACAGCACACAAACACCACACAAGATTCAAATTTCCAAGTTTCGTTGGTCACTTTGTCCTCCGTCCCCGATCAACCCTCAACGCCAATCGACAATCGACAATCGACCGCCGACGACACTGTCAACGAGACCGTCCACAATGGCCAAAGTCAGCACCTGTACGCGGTTCTTCCCTCTTCCCTCTTTCTGCTTTCCTCTCTCGCCGGCCCAATGCTGACCCCCAACTTCCAGCCGTCTCGTCCTCGCGACGCAAGTCCCGCCGGGCGCACTTCAATGCCCCGTCCAGCGTCCGCCACCAAATCATGAGCGCTCCTTTGAGCAAAGAGCTCCGTGAGAAGCACAAGGTACGAAAAGCTATAAAATCCCTCCGATTGTCTCAAGACTTGTTGACTAACATCGACTCCCCACCCAGGTTCGCAGCAGTAAGTAAATCGTCGCACCTCGCGTGGTTCCTCTCTCACATTCGTAGTGCCCATTCGCAAGGACGACACATGCCAGATCATTCGCGGTGCCCACAAAGGTCAAGAAGGCAAGATCATTGCCGTCTACCGTCTCAAGTAGTAAGTGGTAGTTGCTGTCTCCCGCCATCTTCAGTCTCTAACTTTCCCACCCAGTGTTGTGCACATCGAGCGCGTTGTCCGAGACAAGACCAGCGGCCAGAGCGTCCCTCTTGGCATTCACCCTTCCAACGTCGTCATCACGCAGTTGAAGCTCGACAAGGACCGCGAAAACATGCTCGAGCGCCGCAGACTCGGCCGTGAGCAGGCCCTCCGACAGAAGTCCAAGGCTTAAAAAGGGATTAGGTGGTTGTGCTAGGGTGATCATATCGGAATATGGGATGGCTTACGCCAGGTTAGTCCCTGCCTAGGGCGTTTTCGGCGTTTAGATAAGGAAAACGTGGCAGATTCCAAATACGAGTTGCACATTTATGCACAATGGCCGTTTCTCGATCTTTACATTTACCTGTAAAATTGAAACGTTCCATGGGAGGTTTTCCCGAAGTTCTACACCTCTCCCATCTTGGAGAGTGATCAACGAGTCCGCTAGTTGAGTCCCTAAACCCCAGCGATTAGGGCATATCATCAGGCGACGTCTGGAACTTCAACAGTTCTGACTACTCACTAGAGCGTCTTTCTATGTGTCGTATTCACAGAGGTGAGTTTGTATTCTATCGCTAGTAGTGCCGGCCAGAGAAATTGCCGTGAAACGAAGTGACCTGGGTTGTAGCATTGTTTGTTAGTTGCCGGAAAAAAAAATAGTAAAACTTTTATAGACCCGATAAGCTAGGTAGGACCTAGAGACTCATTCTATTAACCGTTTTTATACTCGGAAAGTGATCCTTACAGATCCAGCGCTTAGCTCCAGTCACAACTTTAG